ACTAACCCGTCAATTTTGGATCCAATTCGGAATTTTCCTTGGGAGGTATCGGGAAGGAATTGGAATGTAATAATATCGATTCATACAGATATGGCAAGGATCACAACCCCCCTCTAAAATATCCTGCATAACGGTCTTATTTGGTACATAGAGACTTTCCGGTAGAACTTGGGCTAGACTTTGGTTGCGCAATGGTAAGCTGATTCGCTTCTGGGATGATCTACCTTGACTTTGTTCGTGTCAACAAACAATTCGAAATGCCTCGACTTTTTTAGAACAGGTCCGAGTCAAATAGTAATGAAGATCGGCTCGCTCGAACATATCTATCCGTCTCGAGTCTCGTGACGATCGATTCATAGATCGATTTCTATCCATATGTAGCGGTATCCCCGTGGATAGAGATAAAGATAGGGATCCATCTAGATCTTGATTCACTATTTGATTGATTGCCTTTTTCAACGCTGGGTCAACTATTCAATCAAATGATATTGAGCATGTTTCCCATCTCTTCTCGAGAAACAAGTGGGCTATTTCTTTGCAAAATTGTGTTCACCACCGCCATGGGGTTCTCGTCTACAGGGTTCCCTTAATAGCTGAAGCAAAAAGAAAATCAATTCTATCTTTCCCGTGTTTTTGGGTATAAAATCGTCCATTACCTCCTTCAATCAGGAAAAAGGTCGAAGACATGAAACCGAGAAAAGGGAGGAGGGGGTTTCGCTTGACTCTTTGCTTACTTACAGTTCCAGAATAAATAGCTTCAGGTTCAGTAGTTCAGTCTTTCCTTGATCTTCTCCCTTAAAACACTGTAAACTTCTTTCCGTAGAACTTTCCGTAGAACTTTCGATAGAACTTTCCGTAGAACTTTCCGTAGAACTTTCCGTAGAACTCTCCGTTCTAGTTAAATCACTTCCATCCGTGCTTCGATAAACGGCTCATTGGGATAGATGTAAATTAACAATACCCCCAGAACCAAGGCTTTACACCTCAAAAAGATAGGAAAACTGGCAATATTCCATCCATGGGGAGATTGAAGCAAAGGTCAATTTCGTAAGTTGGTCTTCTGTGTTCGCAGAGACAATTACAGATGAGCCCCATGATGTCGCAAATACAAAGACCGGGAATNGTTGGTCTTCTGTGTTCGCAGAGACAATTACAGATGAGCCCCATGATGTCGCAAATACAAAGACCGGATTTTATTTACTTGGACTTGCTGCTCTTGCTTTTTCGAATTATATGCTCGAGTTATATGAAGCTTTCACTCCTACAATTACTTATTCGTTGGGACAATAACCTATGGGAAGGATTGATTTGAGGATGAGGCATTAGCATACTGACTCGCCTTCTTCCTTCCCTTTTTTAGTCCAATCTCGAACGGAACTTTTTTTTTTTAGGATTGTTACAACATATTTTTTACTCTATTTCGAAACGAAATAGGAAATTAATAAAAAAAAAAATCGAAAGAAATAGATAATTAGTTTTATCTATAAAAAAAAGGAGATCATATGAAAAANAAAGAGGAAAAAAACGAAGATTTCACATAGTACTTTTGATCGAAAAATCAATCTGATTTATTTCGTACCTTTCGCTCAATGAAAAAATGGGTCAGATTCTACAGGATTAAAAAAAAAAATCGAAAGAAATAGATAATTAGTTTTATCTATAAAAAAAAGGAGATCATATGAAAATAAGTAAATAAAAATGACATAGAAGAGCCCAGATTCCAAATGAATGAAAACGTGACTGAATTGGTCCCGGTCACTCTTCGGGACGGAATGGAAGAGGGGAGGAGATTCTCGAACGAGGAGCTTTCCTTCTTTTAAAAGAACTAGAACATGGGAAAACCGCTTTTAATGTTTTACCCCTATGGTGGATAGAATTTCTTTTCTTTCAGCCGAAGCTGTTAGGGAAAAAGGTCTTTTAATGTTTTACCCCTATGCTAGATAGAAAAGGTTTTCTCGATAGTGTTTACTGTTTCATTCATCGATCGTCTTTCCTTCCAGTTCACTCTCTTTCGTCTTGACTTGAAAGACTTTCGAGAACTGTTACGGATTGAATGAATAAGGTAAATAGCGGAAGGGGAAGGATCAAGAAGAAAGATTGAGTCCACCTTCAAACAAAGACAGTAAACACGCTTTACCGAGTTCAAGAAGCTCGAGCGAGACAAATACATGATGACTGACTCTGTTTTTCTTTTACCGACTAGAAAGGTGAAGTAGCTCTTTTTCCGTTTTCCTCTTACTATAAATTTCATTTTTGTCGGTATTGACATGTAGAATGGGACTCTATCTTTATTCTATTCGCATCTGATTAATCAGTTCTTCAAAAGATCTATCAGACTCTGTATGATGGAGTAAATGATTTGATCATCGATTTATAACAATCGACCCCGGGTAAAGAAGTCATAGCCAGCCAGCACAGGAGTTGACAGTGAAATCAGGTTACGGATCACAACACAAACAATTCCATTCCCTTGGTCTCGCAATTCCATTCCCTTCTTTCCTTCCAATCTAATTACATCTACTAAAAAATGGCTATAAACGGAGAGGGCGGAGTCATTGTTTACAGTCGAGTTCCAGAGTGAAAGAGAAGGGACAAGTTCACGGAGTCATTGTTTACAGTCGAGTTCCAGAGTGAAAGAGAAGGGACAAGTTCAGTAGCTCTCTCACGGAGGAAGAACAGAACAGGTAATAGACAGACATCAAACCATACATTCGGGTTCTTTCTATATTTGTTCGAATAAAATGCTTAGCTAATTCCATACGTCTAGCCCCAAAATCCTTTCTTCTTCCAACTTGTGGATCTTCCCATTAATTACCTGCAGGTCCCTCTTCACCTAATTCTTTCCATTCTACCAACCTCGATAATAAGTCGCAAATCCGGATCGGCTAATTGTTCTCGTATAGCACCTGCTCCGGTATAAATTTCTCGATTTCGAAATGTATCGAAGCAAGCCTTCGGTAGTCACAAAAAGTGGGATGCTGTATTTCCAGGATTGGATTTCATATTCGAATGAACCCCGTAATCGTACGAAAGTAGGGTTTTTAGCTATCGGCCTAGCAAAAGACAAATATACTCCACTATAGGATCTCTCCCTTTCCAAATCGGACGTGAAAGTTCAAGAAGAGAAGAAAGCCGAAACTCAAGCAAGACAAGATAGGAAGAGTAAGGAAAGACGAAAGAGGAATGAGAGAGACTTTACGGGAGAGGAAGACGAATCATTTAGTTAGGTAGGGGTAGGGTAGCTGAAGCAGAATGAAATGAAAGAAGAAGAAGAAGAAGATATGATATTACAGTCGAGTAAATGAATGAAATCCGGTTCACTCTCAGTCTCTCTCTTTCCTTCTAAATTACCTCAGTCTACCAGGAAAGAAGGAGAAAAGGAGAAAGACCTGATTCTCATCCAGCCGCTTGACTGACTCTTCCAGATAATGCTTCGAGAGTTGAGGATTGACTGAGAGTTCAACTATTCAATCAAATGATATTGAGCATGTTTCCCATCTCTTCTCGAGAAACAAGTGGGCTATTTCTTTGCAAAATTGTGCTCAATTTCATATGTGGCAATTCCGCCAAGATCTCTTCTTTAGTTGGGGGAAACTCCTACTTCTGGAACTCTGTCGAACCAAGAATGAATTTCTTCTATCCTATATAGGGGTAAAACATTAAAAGAGCTTTTTCCCTCACAGCTGAAGCTTCAAGAAAAGAAATTCTATCTACTTACAACTGTCAAAGTTCGTAAGACCTTTTTCCCTAAGGAAAGCTGCTTCAAGAAAAGATTTTCTATCTCCATATAACTGTAAAAGTTCGTCAGAGGTTTTTCACTAATAGCTGGAGCTTCAATCAAATCTTTTTTATCCCCATATACCTGTAAAACATTAAAATCCCGGTATTTTGGGCCGAGGTAATTCATAAGTCAATCCTCAACTCAACAAGAATGATCGTTCACTGTCAGACTGATTAGACTGATCCTACTGATTGAACGAGTTTACAATTCTTGAATCAATGAAGGGAGGGGAGAAGAAGGAAGACTCAGACAAGATGAATGAGACTGATCCTACTGATCCTACTGATTGAACTCAGTAAAAAGAAGTAGCTCTTTGAGCCAGAGGTAACTCATTCTAATACAAGCCATGCCCTTCTTTACTGACATTTTCTTCTTTCTATCTATTTAGCATTCAAGTCCGGAAGTGGAAAAGTAGTTATCTTTCGACTTAGAAGTTAGAGGCGATAACGGAAAGCTAGAACTCTTAGTTCTCGGGCGAAGAGGTTCAAGAGCGAGACCAAAGGTAGAGGGTTTGGTTTCGTCTTCTTTTCTTTCCTCTCCTTCCTGTAAAGCAACTAATGAATTTCTTCTCCCTTCAGTATCTCTATCTCTTTCACCTCTTTTTCTCGGTAAATAGGTTCCGATTCAGGTGAGATCCAATGTAGATCCAACTTTCTATTCACTCGTGGGATCCGGGCGGTCCGGGGGGGACCACCTCGGCTCCTCTCTTCTCGAGAATCCATACATCCCTTATCAGTATATGGACAGCTATCTCTCGAGCACAGGTTTAGGTTCGGCCTCAATGGGAAAATAAAACGGAGCACCTAACAACGTATCTTCATAGACCAAGAACTACGAGATCGCCCCTTTCATTCTGGGGGTGACGGAGGGATCGTACCATTCGAGCCTTTTTTTTCATGCTTTTCCCGGAGGTCTGGAGAAAGCTCCAATCAATAGGATTTTCTTAATCCTCCCTTCCCGAAAGCGAAAGGAAGAACGTGAAATTCTTTTTCCTTTGAGGAAAGTCAATTACATTTGTTTGAAAGACTTTACTAGCTTTCTACTTTCATACTTGACTACCTTAGCTGAATTAGGACGGGAAGTGTGACATACTTCAAATCGAGAATTAATCCCTGATAAGGCCAATCTTCCATATGATGACAGAAAAATGAATGGGTCACGAAGCGAAGGCTCTTTCCTTGAAACCTAGCTTTCCTAACTCTAACTACCAGACCTTTTGGTCAAGAGGCAGCATTCTCTAACTGATCTATCAAATGCTCTTTAACAACTAAGAAATCAAGGGCAGGAACTAACTGACAACTGACCTACTATATAGCTGCTCTAACTTGAAGCTATCCTTGTGAAATGGAATCCCTAACTTCCCAAGGAGTAGAGAATATGAATATAGGATCCGATTGAGCTGCTAACTTGAACTTCCTCAATTCAACTGCCTCCCTTTTTAGTATTAGTAAAAGAACAAGAGCTAGGGGTTTACTCTTTGACTCAATGAGTGGGAAAAAATCGGCACATTCTTCCAAAATACATGACTCTGGCTTCTATGTCTTCTCTTGCAGCTTATGACTGATTAATGAATGCTATAGTCATTCTGACTTCGTAGTGCTTATCCCCTTTAGACTTCGAACTTCCTTTCCTATCGGGGCTTTAAACGAGCAAGAAAGAAAGAAGTCGATCTCATAGATACATATAGAATTCTGTGGAAAGCCGATCCTATGATTCCGGACCCTTTCATGCTCTAAACGGGAAGATTTATTAGAGTAAGGAAGTTCAAGCTAACCTCTCTCTGGTCTAGAACAAGAAGCAAGAGTATGAGATGCTTTGTTCGAAAAATCCCAAAATCTAGATTTGATTGTCGTGTCGTAAGAAAAAAAAGGAGAAGAAGAATTAATCTTTTTTTTATTGAACATATTTGCTCATTTTGACCACTTTATGATATTTTATCATACTAATTTCTACTTTACCTTCTCGGAGTTCATTCTCGAGAGAACTCCATTTTAAGCATTCCGCTGGATTCTTTCCAATCTTCTTATTTTATGATCTCATTGGAAATCATATAAAGACAATTCCTA